TTCCATGGTGAAACTGTGCATGTGGAATGGTAAATATTCAAAGATAGAGTCCCATCATAGAGCAAACTGTTCCATAGTGAAACTTGTGAAATCCGCCAACTCAGAATTAAGCCATTTAAACTTAGAAATGTCGGCTTGTTTTTATGCGAAATCCTTCACTGTTGTTTTTTTTTCCTTTTTTAACTTTAACTCATTCCCTTTCATTTGTTCAGTGAGAATTTATTAATTTAAATGCATTTATGTCTGTATCAGTAATATTTGAGACTGTGTGAAATGAAATGGTTTAGACATCTGAGATGATAGTAATTTAGTTTATACAGCATTATTCCCAGACTTCTTGCAAAAAAAGACCTAAATCCATCCAAAAATATTTTTAGTGTGAAGTTTTTATTTATTATGTTTACATTGTTTTTATTGTATTTTTTAATGTGCAGCTCAGCTGAAGATAGATATTTCTCCTGCACCTGAAAATCCCCACTATTGCCTAACCCCAGAGCTACTTCAAGTGAAGCTTTACCCTGACAGTAGAGTTAGACCTACCAGAGAAATTTTAGAGTTTCCTGCCAGAGATGTTTATGTTCCAAACACTACGTACAGGTATGAGTTTTTAATTTTGGAGAATTCGGAGATAATGTGCTGTATATTCTGATGTTGAAGTTGAGCTAGAATGAGATGCTCCTGAGATCTTACACAGCTTTGTGACTGGTTCCGTCTTCCCCTGCACGTTTTATAAACAGCTGCCATGGATTGCCTTTACTCTGTGCCTGGTACAATGTTCATTTCCTCACCTGCATCCTCTTATTTATATTGTGATCTAGGGTCTACCTTCATTTTGGAGGTGAGTAAACTGAGGGATAGGTTGAAAATTTTGCTGAGTATCAATCATAGCTTATGATGGTGCTAGGATTTGATTCCTGGGCTACTAGGTCGAAACATTTGAACCCCTAACTACTCCACTATGTTCTCGCATGTATTTTCAGTAGCAGAATCTAGCATTACATGTGAATCAAGTTTATACGCCTGAATTATGTTCTAACGATTAATCGACAATGTCTGTTGACTGTAAACTACATAAAGGGTACTTGACACAAAGTTGTTGGATGTGACTGTCCACCCTGGACACTACACAAGTCCGGGGTGTACATAACCGTTACAGATGGCAATCCCTTTATCTGTGAATGCTGTGACCGGGGCTTGACATGCCTGTTAAAATGTCCTACAAGGCAGCTCAGACTTAAAATTCTAAAATAGAGCTTTACATTTCAGCCCAGACTTCCCCATCCTTCTCTATTTTGCCACCATTTACTTTGTTCCGGAGGCCAAAATTTTTGGAATCAGAAAGGTTGCTTCCCTTTCTTACTCTGCACATTTATTTAGTCAACAAGTTATGTGGGCTGCACTTTCAAGATGTATTCTGAATCCAGTATTTCTTACTATTTTTACCTTTTAAAAATTCTAATCTAAATCACCATCGAGATGGTTACTGCATGGGTTACTATGAAAGTTTTGAGACAGACAGTGTTGGGGTCCATTATTTCACATCCAGTAAACACAGTGGGGCCCTTCCTGACTCATCCGTGCAGTTTCAGCTGCTCGGCTCACCCTGTCACCGGGAGGCTTCATTTATTTCCATCCACATGGATTTTATGTTTCTTGATTCTTGTGTGTCTCAAAACTTTTGTAATGACCCATATATCAAATAGAAATATAATGGAACCACATTTATAATTTAAAATGTTATAGTTGTAACATTTAAACAAGGTAAAATTTATTTTAATCATATATTATTTCGCTCAAAATATCTAAGATATTATTTCTATACATAATAAATGTAAAAAATGATTGACGTGTTTTACCTTTTTTTCTCCCCCGAAAGTCTGCAAAATCTCTTTTATACTTAAAGTCCGTGTCACCTCCGATGAGCCTCATAGGTAGCAGACATGGGGCAGCGGCCACCAGACTGGACGCTGAGCTCAGGTTCTGCTTTCTGATTTGGTCTATTTCTGCTTCTGTCTCGGTTCTCAACATTGCAGCTTGGAAAATCTTTAGAAGGTGTAAACCAGATCATTCATTCCGTTGCCTAAAATACTCCAATGGCTCCCTTACGAGCAGAAAAATACACAATTAATTTTTCATTATAGTCTTTGAGACTGTCTGTGATCTGGCATCTTTTCTGCGTGTTGTCACTAAACTCTCTGTAAAGATGTCTTTGCAGGACAGTGAACTACATCAGCTAACCCATCGTCTTCTCCCTTGGCGACTTCTTTGCAGAAGTAGTTCCCTCGGCTCTTTGGGCTCACTGTATAGTTGTCATCTTGGGTCCGTTTACCCTTGTCCTGGAAATTCTCTGCATTTTTTTTGCATGGAGTCTGTATTTCCCATGTTTTTCGTAGGTCAGTCACTTCACTGAAAGCCTTCAGGGTCTTCCTTAAATCTGGTTGAACATACGAAAGGTAAATGTTCTGGTGATTTTTATATCTGAATGTGTCTTTATTTTATCTTTACTTCCAAATTGATAATTTTGCCGTATATAAAATTCTAAGTTGTGGACTGTTTTCTGTCATAATTTTGAAACTATGACTACTCTCTTCTGGCTTAATGGCTGTTTTTTGAGTCCAACATGGTACTGATTGCTAATCCTTCTGTCTTAGTTTTCCTCTAAAGGCTTTTTGAGTAATTTTTTTTGTAATCTCTGGTGCTTTGAAATTTTATGTTGATGTGTTGATATAACATTTATTTATTTCATTCAGTCTCACAGAAATCTTATAAATTATATAATTCTGTTGATAGCAGGATTATCTCTAGTTACAGGGGAGAAAAGGCTGAGTAAAAGAGACTTTCTGAGACTGGAATCCAGGCTTCTCATTTAATTTTCTCCATCCTTTACCCTTTGGGATGATATGACACCTAGCTTTGGTAATTATATGTAGTATGAAGAAAAGTAAAATTTCTCATTGCTAGATAATTACTTGCTATATTTTAAAACATGCCTCAAGATCACCTTTTTTATTTTTGCCTCAAGATCTACATCATTGTTTACCTTTGTTTAGTATTTTTTAAGATATCTTACAATTGACTTGAGCATAACACTTGTTGTAAACGGCATTCTAGAGTGTAGTGTCTGTGAATTCATGGAAAGTAGGGCTGATATAGACATTCTCTGCATGTTACAAAACTTGGATGGGGTTTGAGTTAAGTGAGAGAGCTGGTATCGAGCGAGAGATATCTTGCTAAATAAAGTAGCACGTCGTTTCCTTTTAAGAATATATTCAGGTTTTTTGTTGGGTGGAGAAGAGGGCCGTTGGTTGGGGCCTGCGGTACGCCACATAACCGAGGGGGCTCTGCTACGGCCACCCGACTTGTTTCCCTGAGTGCCACTCTCCCGGCTGGCCTGGCACAAGGGCACCGATTCCTCTCCAGTTTTGGGGCGCTGCTCTGAGCAGCATCACCCTGTATATCAGAAAGCTGGGGGGCACCACCAAGAAGAAAGTGGAGGAGGTGCTGGAAGAGGAGTTAGAGAGTGTGTGGTGGAAAGTTCTTGACCGTCGTTGAGTGGTAAAGGGCAAAGTGCAGTCTCCTAAAGTGGAGGACAACACGTGGGAGCCAGGAGAGGATCTGGATCGCCCCGGCCTCATTGCTGAGTTTTTGCAGTGGCAGGAAACAGCACATGAGACAGGTGAATCAGAGGGAGGTAAGCGCAAAGCTGACTCTGATTCTGAAGATTAGGGAGAGGACAGCAAACCCAAGAAGAAGAAAGAAGAGTCAGAGGAGCCCCGAGGCTTTGCCCGGGGCTTGGAGCCGGAGCCCAGTACTGGAGCCGCAGACTCCAGTGGAGAGCTCATGTTCCTGATGAAAGGGGAAAACTCTGATGAGGCTGACCTGGGCCCTGCCGAGGAAGCCAATGTCAAGTGCCCACAGGGTGTCACCTCCTTCTATGAGGAAAGGCTGACGTGGCATTCCTACCCCTCAGAGGATGATGACAAAGAAGATGACAAGAATTAACTTTCCTGAAGTACCGGCCCCTGTCACATCTGACTGTGGGTTTCAAGTGGGGAGGGAAGGAATTTTACTTGTCTTGATACCATAGAGGTGGCTTGAGAAGGTGTCCTTTGAAGAGCCGGGATAGTCTCTGTTCCCTGCAGCAGCCCAAGTGCTTTAAAGCCCTTCAGGCTGTATAGTTTGCACACCCAGCCCCGTGGAGGGGAAGGGAATACGTGTTTCGAGGCAACCCATTCTGCACTTTGCTGAGACAAGCAAAAGGCCTTCTATGAAGGACAAAACTTGCAGAATCGGGTGTGTGGGAAAGCAAAAACTGTAGAGCTTCAGAGAGCATCTCCACAGCCCGCAGCCTTCTTCCCCATAGTGCTAATTCTGCATTTTTACAGTGTAGCATGTGTGTAGTTTTTTGGCTATGACTGGTGTATTTGGGGTGGGAGGGATCGGGTGGGAAAGAATGGAGATGAGTAGATCATGCTGGTTAAAATTTGGGGCTTGATTGGGGAAATAGTGAAATAATGGAAAAGACAGACAACTAATGATTTGCTTCTATGTCCATAACAGTTTACCTTTTTTAAAAAAATGTCATTGGCACCATAAAGGAGGCCTGTGAGAGACTGTTTAAAAGCTGTGAATGCCTGAAACCTGTGAGCCAAGGTGTCCTTGCCTGAGCTCAGTGCTGTTCCCGCAAAGGACTAAGCCAGCTTGTCAGTTACCAAAGCTGCCATTCTGAGATAGAAAGTGAATGAGGAGAGAAAAGGTTTTATTATTTTATGTTATAAATTAATATATCAACATAATATATTAAAGTATATTATAATATACATGAGGAGATCATTCTGTCTTGGAGGTGCTAATTCCTGAAATTGAACAAGATGACCCTTCTCCAGTTATGAAGTTATAAAACCAGCTTGTTCATCCAAGCTCCTGGCTGAGGCATTGGGGGAAAGGGTGGTATAGGAGATGGGAGAGTAGGGAAGACCAGGGCTCATGCCCTTAGTTTTTTCAAACTTTGAACCCTAAAACCCATCGGTAGTAGGGTTCAGTCCCTGAAGCACAAGTTTCATTGAGACAGTTCAAGAGTTGAATGATTTCAAAAGCCCTGGGCTTGGGAGATTAAACTTTCCTACTGGGGTGTTGGGTTACTGTAAAACACAGCAAATAAAAACATTCATACAGTGTTTAGTTACCGTCCAAAGTAAAGGCACAGAGATATATTAAATAATCTCTCAAGGTCATTCTCAGACTAATATACTATGATTCATTCTTATAACTGAAAGGCTTACTCCCAGAAGAGAAATGAATTATAATTTTGGAGTATCAATTAGCCTTACCAGTACCAACTATCTCAAACGACACGGCATTCAATTATAAAAACCAACAGCAAATTCAGGTAATCAAGGTATCTCAAACGGCTACTAAGACGTGTTTATACAATGTCCGTGAACTCAAAAGCAAACCCATGCTACCTTAGAATTTATGAAATCCCCTTAAATCTTAGGCTTATCAGCATTTCCGTCTCTTCCAGGAGGGAATGAAACATTAAAACTGAATACATTATTTTTCTCGGGGATTATAAATCTTTAATTTTATTAAGACAAAAACTGACAGTAGTCTGAAGTTCACATTCAGCAGAGTTTTTACAGAAACCTAACACATGTCTGCTAATCCTGCTGTGGTTAGTTTCCTATATTCACAATTTAGGGAATTATTAATTTCAGCTGAATGTTACTGAGCATATTTTTCCATTCAAGTTTATGGTCCCCGCTGCAGAGAGTTTTTATTTTTAGTCTTCGTAGATGTCTCAAGCAACTGCCTTATACTCTGCTATTTCGGTTTTGCCCTAGATATACCACGCTGATTTTTATTCTGATTGGTCTACTTCAACTATAAAAATTCTTGAGTCGAGAGCTCCGTTTCAACACAGGCATCCAGGAGTTTCCCGTGAGGGGCTTACATCTGAGGTGACAGAGGATCATCTCAGACTCCTGGGGGAGAGAGCGGCTGTATAAGAGCAGTTTCATTCTCCTATCCTGAGAATTAGAGGATTTTCAGTTAGGGAACATTTGTGCAGATTATTTACTTAAGGAAATGTGAAGAGGGAGCTCCAAGATTCTGTTTTTAAGAGCATAGGCATTTGTTTAGAGCTTTGTAGTTTATAAAACTGCTAAAATAAATTATCTGACGACACTTATACCCTATGAGATAGATTTGGCAGGATTATTGTTATTCCCATCTGCTGGGTGTGGAAACTGGGGTTTATCTTATTTGAAGATAAAAGCCTGCAAACTTACATTTTTAAGCTTGTAATTTATTACCCTTTCAAATATGCTGATTCATTTTATTAGGTGTTTGCCAATTTTTAGGATTAAACATGAATTTAGAAAAACGGTTTTTATGTTTTAGATGAAATCCTTAATTATATTTTACCTTTCCTAAAGTGTGATCGAAACTTCATTTTACTAAAGCTTAGGAAGTTTGTTAGTTCTGCTTTCATGACCTTGAACTGCAGGTTCCGCAGCAGTTGGGTAATTCTGCCCTAGTCGGTTTACTATGAGAATACTTTGGACTTTGATAAAAGGTTTGATCACTTTCTTTTCAGTTTTAAAAACTGCTGTGTTGAATAATCACTTATAGTACGTACATAAATTCAATATTTGTGGTTGTTAGTGATGGGGGAAAAAAAACCCACAAGGAAATTTGACTATCCTATAACAAAAAGTAGAATATTTATGAATACAAATTTGGAACAAGTTTCATAAAGGAGGCAGGCAGTTGGTGCTCAGTAAGTATTGCTTAATGAGTACCTTTCTATTAATGAATGAGTTAACTATCATAACCATGACTTATACTATTAGGAGGAATAATATATACAAGCATAAAAATGTGCTGATTCTAGGATAACAGTGTGTGTAATAGTTCATTTACATTGAGTGACCCTGAAATGAGAAATGTATATATATACTTGCTTTTAGAAAAATTCACACTGGCTTGGAGTAAACTTTTCATATAGAAAATTTCCGCAAGGTAACTGAAATCAAGTAGGTTGACTATCCTTGTTGCTTTTAGAGTTTTTATTGTTATTTTTCACAATGTTTATTATTATGGTTTGCCAGGTTTATTTTTCTGTCTCCTTCATTTACTAAGTGCCGTTTGAGAAATTAGGCCGTCATGCCACGTGGTTTCAGAGGAAAGCGCTGCCATGTACTAGAACATCTGTGGGGGAAGTGAGGCATCTGCATCTTGAAATTTAAACAGGACCAAGACCGTCAGAAACAGGCGGCAAGGCATGCTAGGTGAATGGGACACATTAGGAAAATTTAGAGGGGGTGCTTTGATTAGAGCAGAGGGTTTGTGTTGCAGAAAACAATGTGTGTTGAGGTAATTTGGGCTCAGATTATAGAGCATCTTGATAGCTGGAAAGGGTTTGGGTTTTGTTCTGCAGGCCTGTGCTCACCTTCCTGGGAGGGCAACTGTATGAGACGTGCAAGTCCACAGCATAAACTACGTATCTTTCAGGGTCATCACTTTGTAGAAGATTTGGGGATAACTATTTTTATATAAAGATAGGTTTTTATATGAAGATAGGGTTAAAACATAACTCACATGCAATTTTAAGATAAGATTCTAAGATTTCTTTGTCCCTGTGGTGCCATTGGTTAGCATGTTTGGCTGTTAACTAAAAGATTCTATGATTTAAGGTAAGATTGCAGTAAGATGCTAAAGGGGGTTGTGCATCTAGCAAGCCAGTTCATCCTGTAACACTGTAACTTACAAAGATGTGTCCATTTTGCCCCCAGCTCTTGTACCTCTCCAGTAAACAACCTTGGAAGATCAAGGTCAAAGTAGTTTGCAACCGTTACAAATTTTTTTTAGGGAGATTGAGAGGGAGAGAAAATAAAATTAAGAGCCATTAATTTGCAATCCCACCAGCAGTGTAGAAGTGTTCCCTTTTCTCCACAACCACGCCAGCATCTGTGATTTTGAGATTTTGTGGTATAGGCTAATTTTACTGGTGTTAGATGATATCTCAAAGTAGTTTTAATTTGCATTTCTCTGATGATTAAGGATGATGAACATTTTTTCATATATCTGTAGGCCATGTGCCTGTCTTCTTCAGAGAAGTTTCTCTTCAAGTCCCTTGCCCACCCTGGGAGCTGGAGAATATTCTTGTAAGCAAAGTATCTCAAGAATGGAAGAAAAAGTATCCAATGTACTCAACCCTATTATGAAACTAATCTATAGCTATTGTAGGAAAACTATAACCCAATTTTAGCCCAAGAATACGGGAAAGGGGAAAGGGAGGGGAGGGGAGGGAAGGAGGATGGGTGGAGGGAGGGTGATTAGTGGGATCACACCTATGATTTATTCTAGGAGGGTACATGTGAATCTTACTAAATGTGGAATATAAATGTCTTAACACAACAACTAAGAAAATAACATGAAGGCTATGTTAACCAGTTGGATGAAAGTATTCCAAATTGTATATAGTAACAACCCGCTGTACCCCATGATAGTATTAATGTGCACAGCTATGACTTAAATTTAAAAAAAATTAAGAGCCAGTAGGAGACTATTTAGATAAGCTAGGACTCAAGTAAAAGTCAGTCCTTGGGAAGAAAATTTACCAGATTAAGAGACATTTCAAAAGAAAATTGTATTGGCTTGGTGGCTTATGATACAGGAGAAATGGTTTGCAAAGTCAGGCCAAAGGCTGAGATGTGCTGCAGGTTCTCTGTGTCTGTGACCGGGAGCACGGTGTGATATGAATGGATATGAAGCAGTTAGGAGGAGGCTGTGAAGTGTAGGAGGTGTAGCAGGGGCTGATGAAGGGGCTGATGAATTTGTTGTTTTGTATGTTGACTGTGGCATACAGAAGGGAGAAACGGCGGGTAGGCAGTGAAGAAGGGGAACTGGAAAGAGACCTGGAAGGCCGTATAGATTCAGGAAACTCATTCACGGAAAACAGATGAGTCTGTGTGATCACATTTCTGAGAGTCAGAGTGGAGAAGATGGTTGAAGGTTGGCCCGTGATCCCGCACGTGAGGAGGGAACGGGCTACAAAGAGAGATTCAGGTAAGAGCGTGAGGTAGTGTCGTAAAGCAAAGTGAGGGTTAAGCTTGGAAAAGGGCATTGTTATTAGTAACAGAGAGATCAGAGGGAGGGTAGACTGAGAAAGACCACCAGGTCAGACAGCTGTGAGTCAGCTCACGTGGGACCCTGACACTGTGACCCAGCGGTTCTCAACCTGTGGGTTGCGACCCCTTTCACAGGGGTCGCCTAAGACCATCCTGCATGTCAGATGTTTACATTACCATTCATGACAGTAGCACAATGACGGTTATGAAGTAGCAACAAAAATAATTTTATGGTTGGGGGTCACCACGACATGAGGAACTGTATTAAAGGGTCACGGCATTAGGAAGGTTGAGAACCCTTGTAAGCAGAGTAGTGAGGACAGAAGGACACAATTTTGTGAACCACAAAGAAAAACCTTTCTTTTTTTCTGCTAGAACTCTCTCAATCTGAGCTTTATATGAGGAAAAAAACCTAATACTCCTAAAAGGAACAAAATGGAACAGGTCATATAGGAATAGCTTTAAGAAAAGGAAAATGAATAGAGGAAGCCATTCATTTAACATATTAAAGAATGAGTTATTTCGCATTTGAAAGCTTCCAATTTTGAAGTGAGGGGAAATGCCTTTTTGGCATTCTGGCTCTAAAAAGTCCGTAGCTCTGAAAATTACAGCTTATTCTTGCCTTTAGTTTTCTGTACTTTGCTGGAATAACATATGGGATACACATAGTTTGTATGTCTGTTTTATATATGTGATTTATAAAATACATGTTGGGTGGTGCCTGTGGCTCAGTGAGTAGGGCACCGGCCCCATATACCAAGGGTGGTGGGTTCAAATCCAGCCCCAGCCAGACTGCAACAACAAAAAAATAGCCAGGTTTGTGGCAGGTACCTGTAGTCCCAGCTACTCGGGAGGCTGAGGCAAGAAAGTCGCCTAAGCCCAAGAGCCAGAGGTTGCTGTGAGCTGTGACACCACAGCACTCTACCAACGGCGACAAAGTGAGACTCAATCTTTAAAAAAAAGTTATTTAAGGATGATGCCCGTAATTCAGTGGTTAGGGTGCCAGCCACATGCACCGGGGCTGCTAAAAACAATGACAATTACAGCAAAAAAATAGCCGGGCATTGTGGCGGGTGCCTGTAGTCCCAGCTATTTGGGAGGCTGAGGCAGGAGATTTGCTTAAACCCAAGAATTAAAGGTTGCTGTGAACTCTGATGCCACAGCACTCTACTGAGGGCAACATAGTGAGACTCTGTCTCAAAAAAAAAAAAAGTAAAAGTTATTTAAACATTTATCTATTATAATTTGAATTGTGACCATCTAAAATGATTCCCACATCACAAAATATATGAAGAAGTGATATAAGAATTTTGATGGAGAAATGTAAATGGTCTTCTTTGAGGTTTTGTGATGATATGTTTAATCTTCAATTGGTAGTGACTTCAAGATTAAAAAAAAAAAACTATTTCTCAAGGCTTCCATTAAGGGTTTAATACCATGTTATTAAACCACGTTAAGTAGGGATAAGATTAATGTTTAATTTGGGATTTTAATCTGCCCCAGCTCATTCAGAACTTTCCGAACCTATTGGACGGATCAACATTTTTGTTGATTTGATGGAGTATAACTTTCCATCTCGAGACTTCCAGCAAAGTCCTCTTCTCCTCTCTGGCTTAGATTTTGCTCTTGGTTTGTTATATTTGCTGTTTAGGTTGTTTTCTCCACATACGTCATGCCACCACCAGCCCCCTAAAGGAAACAGAGATGGAACTTAATGGATGCAAACTCATACACAGTTTCTTTTGAAAGATTTCCTCCTGAGTTTATCATCGTCTTACAAGTACGATAGCCTTGTAGATGCATGTGTCTTAGTTTTGAATACATCGGTATAAATCCCATGTATGCCACAAAAAAATTGAAAATCTATGAAGGATTAGAGGTGAAATACTTGGTTGAACTAGAATTAACACTTTGGTTAAGATAATTAAGAGATTTTTTTCCCTGTAAAGAAAATGCCTATTTGGGACTTGGATTTTAAAGATTTGATGTAGATTATAGCTAACGTTGTGGAATAGTGACAAGATGAACATAAAATACTGGTATCAGAAGAAGGTACCTGGAGAACTCTCTGGACAGTTGACGTGCCCCTTTGCTCTGTGGTCCCAGGTAGAAAACACCAAGTCTCTGTGTTCCGGGAGTGCGCTGGCGATGGTGCCAGTCGTCCTGGCCAGGTGTAGTGTATAGTTGGTTTCCTCATCTCCCAGGCGGAAAGAATATTGAATATAATGTGTGTTGTCTTTCCAGTCTTCCAGCTCAATTCGTAAAATGTGATCCGACTGCTTTGCTATGCGGTATATCTTCTCTAGGCCCAACCAGAATTCTCCTGCAAGGAAGGGTTGTGAGAACCTGTGGATTGTCAGCTGCAGATCGGGCACTGACGGTGTTCTTTGTTGGTTAAGTGACTGAGGTGTTTGGTCTTGGATCCATTGGTCATTTTAGAGTTTCTTAAACTATTTCTTTTCTAAACAGTTTTATTAAAGGTAGTTGGATTTGAAAAATGATTAAAAGGTTAATAGATCTGCTGGGAAGTATGTATTTCTAAAATGTATATTACAAGACATGTTTCACATGTGAAACATACTGCACTATTTACAGGTAATTCAGGTCTGGTCATTGGTAGAATAATGTCTCACTTCTAACTATATAATTTGTCAGCCTTTCTATCAGCTCTTTATTAACATCCACAGACAGTCAAGAGATTTGTTAAATATTCCTAGAACCTTCGTTAACAGCGATGTCATTTTCCTTAAATGTAAACTTGGCCTTCAGTATTTACTTGATGGATATCTTTTCTTTATGGAAAAAGAAGGGAACACTTTTTTTTTTTTGCAGTTTTTGGCTGGGGCTGGGTTTGAACCCGCCACCTCCGGCAAAAGGGACCAGCGCCCTACTCCTTTGAGCCACGGGTGCCGCCCAAGAAGGGAATACATTTAAAAAAAACATTTTAAATTAAGAAGTATGATTCTTAATACCTTCTCTCTGTAAAAATTAAAAATTATTTTTATTTATAATTAAAAACATAACTAACAAATACAAATGCAATAGAACCTCCATGGTTGACCACCTCCCTACCCTGACCACTTCCTTGAATTGACCTAATTTTCATAGACTGGACGCGTACCATGTACGTATCAGTACAGTAGGGGCCTAAGTCCTGATGCTGACCACCTCTGTATGTTGACCAGTTTGTTACAGTCCTATGGGTGGTCAACTTACAGAGGTTCTACTGTAGATCACTTTTTATCACAATTCTTTTTTGTGTGTGTGTGTGGTTTTTTTTTTTGAGGCAGAATCTCATTCTGTAGCCCCAGACTAGAGTGCCATGGAGTCATAGCTCACAGCAAAACTCCTGAGCTCAAGCAATCCTCTTGCCTCAGCCTCCCTGAGTAGCTGGGACTACAGCAGTGAGCTACCATGTCTGGCTAGTTTTTCTATTTTTAGTAGAGATGGAGTCTCACCCTTGGTCAGGCAGGTCTTGAACTCCTGAGTTCAAGCGATCCACCTCCCTTGACCTCCCAGAGTGTTAGGATTACAGGTGTGAGCCACCACACCCAGCCATAATTCTTTTTATCACAGTATTAATATTTTTGTATTGCTATCAAGTTAATAAGAGGCTTCATTTTAAGGATTACTGGTAAATACAAGTATAAATGGGTTACTTTCTTATTAGAAATAAATGGATATTTTGGACTTAACTGTCAACCTTTTGTTTTGGGGTTACACTCACTCTTAAAAGATGATTTGGAGCTATAAAATACATCATTGAATATGCTTTCTAATTAGGAATTTAACTGGTAGTTTGAATATAATTTTTTTGAGTCCCTGTTTTCATTTCTTTTTTTTTTATTAGTTATTTTTTATTAAATCATAACTTTGTACATTGATGCATTTATGGGGTTCAAGGTACTGCTTCGATAAACAACATAAAATGTTTACATTGAACTAAGTCACACATCCATCACAATTATACTCATTTCTTAATAGTTTTGAAATGTACCATTGCATCATGCACATCAGGTGAGGTCGCCCCAAATACCCTCCCTGAATATAATTTTTTTAATGGTGCTGTTGAGCATTTGAAAATTTGATATAGCTAGGCACGGTGGCATGTCTTGTAGTTCCAGCTACTTAGGAGACTGAGACAGGATGATCATGTGAGCCTAGGAGTTCAGTCCAGCCTGGGCAACATAGTGAGACCCTGTGTCTAAAAAAAATAAATCATTGTGCGGACGTATAACACACCCCCTGGGTGAGGGGCTCTTTACAGATTGAACTTTACCCTGGAAGTGAGAACAATGTAACTTAAATATTGTACCCTCATATTAATTTGAATAAAGTTAAAAAAAATCTATTAGAGGAGACAAAAATAAATAAATGAATAAAAATAAATCAATCAAAAATAAAAATGTAAGCTTGGTGCCTATAGCTCAAAAATAGGGCACCAGCCACATACAACAAGGCCGGTGTGTTCGAGTCCAGCCTTGGGCCAGCTAAACAACAATGACAACTGCATCAAAAAAAATAGGCGTTGTGGCTGGTGCCTGTAGTCCCAGCTACTTGGGAGGCTGAAGCAAGAGAATTGCTTAAGCCCAAGAGTTTGAGGTTGCTGTGAGATGTGATGTTATGGCACTTTACCGAGGGTGACATAGTGCAACTCCGTCTTAGAAAAAAAATAAATAAATACAAATGTAACATAATAATGATGTTTTTTTATAGGCATGAGCCACCACACCCAGCCTTACAGTATACATTTATAATATTTAAATCATTCTAATTTTAAAATTTGTTTTTTTTGTGTTTTGTTTTGAGACAGAATCTTACTCTGTCACTCTGGGTAGAGTGCCATAGTGTTATAACTTACAGCAACCTCAAACTCCTGGGCTCAATTAATCCTCTTGCCTCACCTTCCTGAATAGCTGGGACTATAGGCCCTGCCACAACGCTCAGCCACGTTTTTAGATATGGGGTCTCGATCTTGCTCAGGCTAGTCTCGAACTCCTGAGCTCAAGCAATCTACCCTCCTCAACCTCTCAGAGTGCTAGGATTATAGACGTGAGCCACCGCTCCTGTGCAATTTTAAAATTTGTGTGTCTGACAATTTTCTTGTCCTTTATAACCTCCCATTAATTGATACCTAAGATGTTAATGAGAGAATACAGTGATTAGTGCTAGAGATGATTGTCTTTATAGCCTACTCACAGCACTACCATTTATCAAGGCACTTAGCACTTGATCAAAATTGTCTTTAATATTTATAATGATGATAATTATAAACCATTAAATAAAATTATGACGAGAATAATTAAGAACAGACATGCAATTGTGATAAATGTACATGTAATTACCAACAAATGTATAATTATTTGATCATAAGTTTTACGAAGGCTGAGATTGTTTCTTTCTTTACGATTTTCCCAGTACCAGTCCATAATGGGTCCTTAGTAATTACTTGCAGTTGACATGTGAATGAATGACTTCATGCCGGCCGTCACCTTACCATCAAGCCTCCCAAAGCCGTGTTTGTAGTTCTCCCAAGTTTCATTGAAATTTCGTGATCCATCTGTCCGTCGTTGAATTAATGTCCACGAAGTACCTGAATACAATGCACAAAAATACTGTATTTTTAGTAGATTGACGTTAACAGATGTTAACAATACTGTTTTCTTTTTTTGTTTGGTTTCAATTGGTGGCTTTTTCAGACAGTTTATTGTTACGGCAATACTTCGTATTATTTACTGTGGTCCCCCAAAAAATTACGTGAAGCCGACTCACGAAGTTTGTCTTAGTTAACGTACTGACAGGAGCCACTTCAGGTTATCAGAGAGGAAAAGGAGAATATTGAGCGGATACGTGAACAAGATGAACACAAGTAGTAGATTTATATTAGCACTTACTTATAGTTCATCTATACGTGTGTGTAGAGAGCCAGGGAAGGATGAAAACAAAGACAGCAGGGTTGGTCTTGCTGCCGGGTGCGAGTAACTTGGACTTACTGCAGGTTTTACCTGATTTCACGTCACAGTAGACGTTAAACACTTGGGAGTTGCTGGGTCTGATGGCATACACGCCACTTCTGTGATCACCTCTCTTATAAATGGTGGTACAATCAGGAGCAACGCCTAGAAGCAGCAGAATGTTACACAGGAGTTAGTAACAGGAAAGATGTCTTTAGTGTTTGAGATTCTACTTGACAAATTGTGGCACATGCAGCTTTTTTTTTGCAATTTTTGGCTGGGGCTGGGTTTAAACCGCCACCTCTGGTATATGGAGCCGGCACCCCACTCCTTTGAGCCACAGGTGCTGCCCACTAAAGCATTTTTTTAAAGACAGCATTTTACTTCAGGAATGTAGAAATAGCTATTACCAAGCTAATTTCTTCTTAAGAAAAGTGACAAAACGAAAATTTTGAGCACATTGTTATTTTTTGCTACATGTAAGAAGATTATAAAGTGGCAAAAATCCATGTGAAACTTTGTATGGTATAACAGATGTACCGTGTTTCCCCGAAAATAAGACCTACCCCCAAAATAAGCCCTAGCAGGATTTCTACACATTTGTTAAATATAAGGCCTACCCCATAATAAGACCTGATGGGCGTGGCTATCATGCATTTCTGTGCAGAGAGGAAGACATCCCCTGAAAATAAGCCCTAGTGTGTCTTCTTGAGAAAAAAATAAATATAAGACAGTGTCTTATTTTCTGGGTAGCACGGTATGTGGAAAGAATGACCGACTTGGTGCCCATAGCTCGGTGGTTAGGGCACCGGCCACACACATCATGGCTGGTGGGTTCAAACTCAGGGTCTGCTAAACAACAGTGACAACTACAACAAAAAAATAGCCAGGCACTGTGGCAGGTGCCGATAGTCCCAACTACTGGGAGGCTGAGGCAAGAGAATTGCTTAAGCCAGTGGTTCTCAACCTTCCTAATGCCACGATGTATTTTCATTGTTACACAGGGGTTGCAACCCACAGGTTGAGAACAGCTGGCTTAAACCCAAGAGTTTGAGGTTGCGGTGAGCTGTGACGCCACGGCACTCTACTGAGGGTGACATAGTGAAACTCTTGTCTCAAAAAAAAAAAAAGAATGACCATTACATGGAGAAAACTAATAAAGATCTTTTTTTCCTGTATGAATTACATAAAAATTAAAGGTCTTAGGAAAATCCCATTGTGTTGAAATTTGGCTAAGAATGAAGACTTGGTTTCCGATAGTTTTTGTTAGTAAGGAGAATTTCAATGTGAAAGTGGAAAGAATTGTTGAGGAGAACACTGTGTGGTCGTTCTATCTACTGGTATATTCAGCAGTTGTTAACATTTTGCTGTATTATTTTTATGTACACACATGTACACAAATAGTAGTTTGTTGTGCTATTGGAAAGGAATTTTCAAACATCATGACCTTAATTATTTCAGCATGGATCTGTTAAACTTGAGGTTATCTTCTTCCATAACTGCAGTAATTTTAGCACATCTGAGAAAACCAATAAGCGTTCCATGTTATCTAATCATCAAGCCTATATTTATACGTACCTGATGATCTTAAGAATGTTGTTTATAAGTTCAGAAAGAACCCCAGGATCAAATTTAGGTTGACACACTGTATCTGGTGGATATGCCTCTTTGCTCTTTTTCAGTTTAGAACAGGTCTTAGGAATAGGGAATTTGGTGATGATAGCTTCAGGAAGGAAACCCACCAAAGTGTCTTACCATCAAGTTCTACATTTTTCATTTCATTCAGCTGAAGAAAGGGAGTAGTTCTGGGTGCTCTTGGCTTGGAAGAAAGAGAATTTTCAGTGGATTCTTGGATACCAGTCCTTTTGAGCTGATAAAATAATATAAATCTACTTTTAATAACAGCACTGAATATATAATTAAGAGAAATCTGAGTAAGGATATCAAAAGTACAATTTATAAAAGAAAGATGGACACTTTACCTCTTACATGGATGGAGCTGGAACATATTCTTCTTAGCAAAGTATCTCAAGAATGGAAGAAAAAGTATCCAAGGTACTCAGCCCGACTGTGAAACCAATTTACAGCTTTCATATGAAAGCTATAACCCAATTATAGCCCAAGAAGAAGGGGAAAGGGGAGGGGAGGGGCGAGGATGGGTGGAGGGAGGGTGACTGGTGGGACCACACCTACAGTGCATCTTACAAGGGTACATGTGAAATTTACTAAATGTAGAATATAAATGTCTTAACACAATAACTAAGAAAATGCTGTGAAGGCTATGTTAACCAGTTTGATGAAAATATTTCAAATTGTATATAAACCCAGCACATTGTACACCATGATTGCATTAATGTAACAGCTATGATTTAATAAAAACATACAGTTTATATGCATCATTCAGTTTATAAGAAGTTGATGATTTTGATGTTAAAAGGGATACTGACTGCTATTTAAATAACACCGTTACTGATTTTCAAGGAATTTAATGAAGTGCATTATTTAAGAAGTTAAAAAAAATAAAGAGAAAACTGTCAAAAACAGATGTGGGTCAGAAAAACAGCAAGGTCAAAAGTGGAATCTTTGCTTAAATATTTTAATATATTCTATTTGTATTAATAGAATATATTTGATATTCTATTTGGTAACATAGGCTGATTTTAAATTTAATAATTCTCAGTTGTAAGTTCTTACTGATTCTCAGACCTACCATAAAGACTTAGCACATAGTGAAAAGGCTGGTTTCGGGATGGGTTTTGACCTGTAAACATTATCTGTAGGTGTTGTCAGGTGGGTAGGCTTATTTCTTTACATTCAGTACATTCAATAATTCATTGTTAGTTTAGCAATAACACTTTTTATTTAAAGTGTATTAACTTTACAATGTATTGAATTACAGCTTTTCTTATTCATGATGAGAAAAGCAGAATATATAACATCGTGCATTAGTTTTTGATGCTGGCATAAATGACGTTTTCTAGGACCTGGTTTATAAGGAATTGTTGTAAAAGTTCACTTACTGATTGTTAATCTTTTCTACTAAGTAGCTGTGATCCTAGAGTGACTAAACTCCTTAGAGCTTTGCTTTTTGAATTTAAATATGAGGAATTTGGATCAGACAATCCAAGTCCTCTTCCAGTTCAGAAATACATTTTTTTGGCTTCCTCATCCATTTCATTTTTAAACAGAATGTTGTTGTACACTAGAGACATTTTGCTTTTGTGGGCAGGTTCATTTAATTGTAGTAAATGATATATTAAAAAGAATTTTAAAAAATACCATGTAGAAAGGATATTATGGAAATCAAAAGTAGTTGGCAGTCTACTCAATTAATATGTTTGTTTAGTGGAAATTAGTGGTAATTTTTTTTTAATAGTTCTTGGTAACCATTTTTTACCAGTTTTCTTTGATCCTATATTATATCTTGACTCTCCGGAATGGCTGTTCAAGAGTACAATTAATTAATATTTTAAAACTACATATGGGAATGCTTAGTTTGTGACACAGCCTTATTCTAAGTAAGGGCCTTCCTTCCTCTCCTGACCACTTCATTACATTGTAGGTGAATTACATTGTTGCGTGTTGGACATTAATTATCAGCTAATTAATGATAGCTGATAATAATGGAAGTTGTTACATTACTAATAATAATGTAAGTTGTAATAATCGTGGTAAGTGTTCATCACTGTGTGCTGAATATGACATTACCTGCATTAATCCAGTCCTTTATTTATTGAGTGCCTACTGTATGTCCTTCAGTGTTTTATATTCTTGCGTACAACAATGACAGAAATGGGAAGAAATCCCTATGCTCATGGATGCTACAGTTTAGTGCAGGAAGAGGAAAGATAAATAGCGAGTGTATCTATCATGTTTGCATAAAGGTAAGTGTTAAGGAGAAAAGGTAGTTACGGAGCTAGAACAGTGGTTCTCAACCTTCCTCATGCTGCCATGTCTTTTCATTGTTACAAAGGGGTCTCAACCCACAGGTTGAGAACCACTGAGTTAGAAGCTTTCAGGGGTGGGATTAGGTGGTTGTCATTTTTGAGTAAGTGACTTGGGAATGCTTCATTGAGAATTTTATATCTGATGAAGACCAAAGGAAATGAAAGAGAGAGTCATAGAGATACCATGAAGGAAATGAAAGAGTGAGTCCTATAGACCCCAAGGAGGAAATGAAAGAGCAAGTCATATAGACCCCAGGGAGGAAATGAAGGAGGGAGTCATATAGACCACAAGGAGGAAATGAAAGAGGGAGTCATAGAGATACCATGAAGGAAATGAAAGAGTGAGTCCTATAGACCCCAGAGAGGAGATGAAGGAGGGAGTCATATAGACCCCAAGGAGGAAATGAAGGAGGGAGTCATATAGACCCCAAGGAGAAGATGAAAGAGTGAGTCATGTAGACCCCAGGGAGGAAATGAAGGAGGGAGTCATATAGACCCCAGGGAGGAAATGAAGGAGGGAGTCATATAGACCCCAAGGAGGAAATGAAAGAGGGAGTCATATAGACCCCAGGGAGGAAATGAAGGAGGGAGTCATATAGACCCCAAGGAG